GTTGAGAATCTTCCTGTCGCGTTTGATCAAAATTAACTTGCCAGTCGCTGTTGGAAAGGTAGCATGAATTACAAAGAGATTCACCGACATCCGAGCCATAGCATCTTAAATGAAAGATCTTGAGGCATAACAGGGGCGGATCCAGCAATTTTTGATTGGGGGGGGTCCAAACTTTGGTTCAGAAAGGACTGTTGGACCGAGGCAAATTACTTGTCCCTCACATCCCCCACACCCCCTCCCACCAGTAGCGGTTGCACGTTATAATTCCTTGGCCACTTACCGTTTACTTGGATTCATTAAAAAAAAATCAGCCAGTTAAAAAGTGTTACATACGATCCTGTCGATGTAAGAATTTCAGTCTCAAAGTTGTAAGCGTCAGGTCTGATAAGAGGGGAGGGGTCCGGATCCCCCGGGCCCTCCCCCTGGATTCGCCACTGCATAACGACCACGACGCCCTGCTTTGATATCTCTTCACAGCTTTTGTGCATGAGTCCGCATTTTACCGTTTGTCTGGCACAGGTTTCGTTCCAGCGTCCTTTCGAGCAACAATAACTCTTCGCTGGTCCTGGATTCTGCTGAATGTCGCCTGCTAAGAGCACTAAATAGCTTGCACAAAGAGTGATGTTAGCAAGCCTCAAACCGGCCAAGCATTTCAAAGTAGGCGGGAGAACTGCAACTCGTACATACCAGCGGGTTGAAGCCGAATTTCGTGTCGGATAATGATTAACATCTAAGCCTTTCACTACTACTATGCTGCAAACCTTCCTATCCAAACCACTGTTGCCCTTTGGAGAGATTAGGACAAACATGAAGAGTAGCCAGGTCAGAGACCTTGCGGAGCAACAAAGGACCGCCATCTTGGTTAGGACCTGCCAGTAAACCTTATGCGATCATCTTTTTCTTGGAGTTCATATAATTCCAGTTTCAGTCGTTCCAACCCCGCGCGAAGATCTCGACTATCTATAGCACCACTACTTGTAGCAGACTCGCTACTGGCTCCGAACTGAGTTCGAACTATGTTCGCGCTAAACGGCGTGTTCGCGCTAAAAGGCCGTTTTACGATAAACGATAGTTTTGGCCCCCCATAACGCGCCCTCTCCCTGCCTTGCGTGACAAAATTAACCAATTGTTGCGAAGGAGAGTAAAAAAAAAAAAAACAAAAAAGAAAAAGAAATACAAACATACAAACAACGGAAAAGTTTACAGCTGGAACCATTACTCACTCTGGAATTCAATATTTCCGAAGTGCCGCCCTGTTGAGCACAGAGATGGAACATACTGTCAGACAGTGAAAGGCGCTTTTAAAGCCGACATCACCAAGTAAAATGCCGCAAGCGCAAATAAATATCAAGGACCATTAACGTAAGTGAACTCAGAAAAAAAAAAACAACAAAAACAAAAACGGACAATAAGTTATTTATTTATAATAATGTGGCAAAGGTAGATTTGCATGCTCCTAGAAATTTAATCCCCAAGAAAAAGGACACGAAATATAACCTTAGAATAAAATCAAGTTATTGTCTTAAGGTTAACACAGATCGTTTCAAAATTCTTATGTAAATCGAGTGATAATCAAATACGAGGTAGAGTTGTAAATTTAGATATTTCTACATGTTTCACTATTCTGAGCCTTTTACTAAGGTTAATTTGAATGTTTAACTTTGTAACATAAGATATGTAATTTTTGTCTTACGAAGATTATTTCAAGTACTACTACGAGCATCCAAAAAATAAAAATCGTTTGAACGTCCAATTACCAACCCAAATCTTAGAGTTCGCTGATAAACTGAGAAATGATTCTAACTGGAGAATAATGTACCTGCATAATGCCACACAGTCAAAATCTCAGCCTTTTGTCCTTGACAAATGGCTTTCAACTCTAATTATGTCATAATTATTCATTATTCCTCCCATTTAAAAAATTCATCAATATGCACAGCGAACAGTCGGAGGCCAATGATATTTATTTACTCAAAAGATACATTATTTAAAGTAGCTTCTGTTTGCACTGCACAATATCACATCTTGGATGGATAATACACGATGAAGACAACGCAGGTTCAGAAAAGCGCACATTTTAGGTAAATTACGGTAATTACTTCAGACACCTTCCTGAGGCAATTTTCAATTTATTCTACAGCGCACGATCATGGTTTTCAATTTTAGTTTGATGCTCTATATGCGAGCTTTTTCGATGAATTCATCGCGTTATCATCATTTTGATCATTTCTCTCTAGAACCAATCGATGTGTAAGCTGTAACATTCATTTGCTTTTTTTTCAAGTTGCATTTCGTGTCTTTTTCCGTAATGATAAGAAAATTCAAAAAGCGAATCCACGCAGACAGATACGATTTTTTCAACTTGTCCATTTGATCAAAGCTCATGAACAAATCCACTCAGTAAAAGATTTACATATTTACAACATTTTCCCTGCCCACAATTATTTAGCGAAATACTACCTGCTGATGGTATATTTATTGCTTTTTAACTTAAAGGCCGATAGCTGTATTAAATGATAAATATAGCCATCAGTTAAATGGTAAAATTCAGAATAGATAGAATAAAATATAAAATCCCCTCGAAAGTCCAGATAGTGAATTCGTTTGCAGATTTGTCGTGAAGAGAAAGACATATATTTTTCTTTTCATGTTTATTGAAACAGTGGTCAACTAACCACACTTGTTTTATTAGTAGAATAATTTTCAGTCTACTGTTTGGATATAACAAGATACCCACTCAACTCTGGCAAAGGAAAAAAAATAGATTTGCTGTCGTTGTTCAGTTTTCCGATTTATCATATAAGCCGTCAAACTCAGTATTTATTTCTTAATTTATCACTGCTATTGAAAAACGCGGAGTTGAAAAGATAAAAAGGCATTTACTTTCGATTACCTGCTCCGTTTATTTTTTGTCTCGCTTGAAATTATCTTAGCCTGTTTCATGAAATCCATTAAATGGGGAGAACTTATATAATTAAGCCATTGACCAGCCGTGATATACTCGGCAAGTTATCATCGAAAATATTAAGAGCAATATATGTTTATATTTTCTCAACGCGATGACTTTTCGTCCTCTAAGATATTCAACAGAACAAATTGGATTAAGAAAATTGTAAGAAGGGGTGGAATTCACTGACTTATAGAAAATGAAATTAGATGTTTTTTCTTAATAATTATAAAATATAAAGTTTCGCTTCTTTTTTCATCACTTACTCGTTCAACATACTTGCTTTATTTTGTCGGTCAACCTGCTAATTTTTCTCGCCTTTCACAAAATGATTATCCTATTATTCCCGAGAAATTTAGCATCAGAATATACATGTTAGCTCAAGCAAAAGTCAACGATTTGCAGTTTGTAGAAGAGACCTTCGCTGCGGTTATTTTTCTTTAACCAAAGAAACCTTCATGAAAAAGTGATTTTCAAGTGTGATATCAACACGGCTTTAATATTTTGTGTTTTCACTCCTTTTTATTCTCTAGACTCAAATGACACAGGTTTCAAGACGATTTATAATTGCACGATTGTTACCCGGCCAGACCGGCGAATTCTCCTGCAATAGCGACGAATAAATTCAGTTATTAAGTTATCGCTCCATATTCAAGATAAACTTCGAGTGAAACAGCTGTTGTTAACAACACACGATAGCGCGGTGGATCTCATTGGTTTACCTACGACCTGACGTCATCCAGCTGCTTTTATAGGAATAATAACAGTTTTCATAAAGAGAAAATTTATCAGTTTTTAACAACTCAGTTTTGTTTAATACAACATGCCTAGCACTGGACGCCAGTTTAGTTACGCCATTTTAGGCATTGCAGCCTTGTGGTCTGTGCTTATTTTTATTCTTTATTCAAACAGTTCTGCTTCTTTTTTGGCCGAAACAGAGAGATTAAAAATGGCTGTGGAAAGGAAAGACAGATTTCTCGAACTGCTTCGCGATCAAAATGATGAACTTAAAGGGAAACTTTCCAAACTTCAAGAAGAAATACGGAAAAATGATGCTGGGAAAAGTGCACAAGAGAATCTGTATCATATTAAGCGAGGTTATCGTACCATCGGATCAACAAGAAATAATTAAACCTTGGAACACGTCAAACTTGGTTACAAATGAAAAATCGCTTTCCTCAAGAAATGGCAAGTAGCTCTATGCAAAGCAATATTTAGGGAAAAAAGTCGAATGGCAGCCACTTTTCTCCAAAAATTTAGAACTGACGTGAAGCGGCCGACAAAAAAATTTAAGGGTAAAATCCGCCTTTTGTTTCAAAGCTTTTCTCCAAACTTATTGGGCAATGGTTTGTCGCACTCACGTGTTCTCTTTAAGAAACAAGAGGAGTAGGGTCCTGGGAATGACTTGAAAGTGGACGTGAGAGATCTGGGGAATGATTCAACTCATCACAGAGAGCGACTTTCTCCATTTGAAATATTATGAAAGGTTTAGAATTTTGAATAAAATTTTCAAAATTGTCTGAAACTAAGACTTTTTATTATCATGTTAATGAGACAGCGTATCCCAGTCAAGTTTCTCAGTTTTCCGTCTCAGTAACATGCAAACTGTCTTAACTGTTAGAGGATGGACAAGATGGAAGACATGTCACGAACGAGGGATAGAGACAAAAAGTTTACTCTCCGTGAAGAATCTAGCCTCCTACGCAGACGTTCTTTGGGCTCGTCACGCAATCTTCCTCCCGCAATCATTGGGGGAGGAAGATTGCGTGATGAGCTCAAAGAAAGTCTGCGTAGGAGGCTATGAAGAATCGGGCTCCAGACTTCGAAAGTAATTTCATCCAAAACTAACAATAACAGTTTTCTTCTCACCCCGTTTTGAGATTTCAGTAACCTTACTGAAAAACTATTTGAGTCAAGCATTTTTTCTTTGGGGGGGGGGAGGGGTAGCTTCAAATTGTTGAGAAAAAGCGCAAAGAGATGGAAAATGCAGGATGAAACAATCTTCCGTATATTCTTCAGAATGGCCTTGCCTCTGAGTTTTTCATACATTTAGAGGCAAATTTCGAATTAAAGGTTATATCACGCTTGGAGCTTCGAAACGCTTCACCATCAAACTTATTTAAAAAATGTCGTTTTAAATGGCGGAGGAAAAAAGTATATGAATTTTTTGAAAAAAAATCATACATTTCCGAAGCATATTTCTTATTATACACGTTAGCTGCTGGTATCAATTTTAATGCTCTAGGTCTTAGACTGAAATGTAATATTCAGAACATTTCATAATTAGTATTATAGCCGGGGGGTGGCGAGTTACTTTGTGACCGACGCGTTTTTAAAGAAAAGATTTCGGTCGTAAGGAAACAGATTTTAAATCAAAAGAGAACTTTATTCAAATTTATAGATTTGCACGTATGCTCGAAACATCTTGTGTAGTATACATTCGTAATTTTAGCTTTCGGATACTGTATTAAGTTAAATAAATCTGCCACATGCGTCTTTGTTAAGCGGGACACGTCGAAAAATTCTTTCGGTGAATTAAATTCCGTTACTTAGAAACAAAGCAACTTGATGTTAAAATTCATTTCTTGTTTTGGGTCACTTTTTCTAAAGCTATAGGAAATTCTGGAAGAGTATTTGGCTGTTTGTGGGTTTCGTGACCGGTCGATCCTTGGGCGAAGCGAAACAGCGAAACGTCAGAGAAAGGCAGAGCGTCGATGCTGTATTCCGTTTGCAAGAATACAATCAAATTATGGGTGAGATCTAACAGCGTTTGGTAGGAGATATCTTCAGCCCATCTCATCATATCAATTTTCCATACTTAGCAGTGATATATTACAGTGCCCTTTTCACGGAGAAATACGAAAAAGTTCATTTCTGAAAAGCTAAATACGTTAAATTCACCAAGCTATCACGAGCGAGGCCCTAACCGCCTTGAGCGGCCTTGTGATACAGTCATGGTTGTCAAAAGAACAACCCACAGGATCTTCGGACAAGTAATATTTTTTAGTCTTTTCGTTTCTGCGGGGGTGTTGATTATCTTCAACATGGTATTTTTTCTTCAAACTGCCTCTGAACTCGTTCTATTGACGAACTCGGGACAAGATAAAACGACTTTACCTTTGGCGTTCAACGAGGAACAAAGACAGAATGAAGAGCTTGCGTTACGAGGTACTCCTCTTATTGCATCATACAAACGTGTATATTCTATTCAGGTACAAAGACAGAATGAAGAGCTTGCGCTACGAGGTACTCCTCTTATTGCATCATACAAACGTGTTATTTTCTCACAAGATCACAGAATTAGAAATCTTAGATCTGCACTTTTCGACTCTTTAAGAACCAAATTCAGGACATTACAAATAATTCCATTGACAAATTGCTAATTTTTTTGGCATTCGAAGACTATTCAGTTAGGTAGACAATATTTTTGCAAACAAGAGTTGCTAAACTTGCAGGATAATTTCATCGCTTAGCCTTGGAAAGGGTAATGACAACAATTTTTTTGCACAATAGAGATCAGTGCGTTATCTTGAGCTCTAAAGAGACAAACGCAATAAATCATGAAATAACCCTCTGTGCGGCCGCATGATTTTCGCTATCTGTCAATTGCACATGCCCAGTAGACAAAAGCGGAGTATGGCTAACTTTTACCTACGGATTTTCTTTAATATGTACTTACTTTTCGTTTTCCAGAAGACAATGTTTTGGAATTAGAAGTGTTATCCAGTAAGGAAAACGTTACGTTGACAATAAACGGACAGAGTGTAAGTATTAAAAATGATTCAAAATGTTTTGAATACCTCAATGTACCTCTCTTAAATTTTGTGGGAGTCTGTGAGGGAGAGAAAAGGTTAATGAGAAGGTTAATCCAAACCAATATCTAACCCAACGGGTTTTGTTTTGTTTTGTTTTGCCTTTTGGAGAATCGATTTCACATCACGCGTTGGTGACTCGATGGCCATGTTCTAATCCAAACTCGTTCTCGGGATCCCTCTTCCTCTCTCTCCCTTCTCTTTGATTCCTGGTAATATTTTCTTTCCTAAGTTCTGATTGGCTGCTGTAATAGCTTTGATTTTTTTTTTACAAGTGCTAATTGGAAAGTGCTCTATCCTCAGTTACGAATGGTAAAAGTTAAAAGGGGGTAATTTTATTCGCATGCTCAGTTCATGCAGTTTGAAAACTGTTGCTATAATCTGATCTCTGTAAAAGTTGATGTTATTCAGCGAATAACACAGGCGTACTCGGGAAAAAGAACTCCGAGTGTTTCCGATAGGAGTCGAACCTACGATCTTTCGCTTAGTACTTGGACGCTCTACCAACGAGCTATAGTGGACCTGTGGTGGGGTTGATGAAGTCCATAGTACCAAAATTCTTGCATACTGCTTGGATAAGAATGGCGATATGCGATGCTTCTTCGCCATGAAGATATAAATGAAGTAAATGTCATCTGTTTCAGCTTTTGGTTGATTTTTTTTTACCCAACTAGTAAGGTTGTATACGGATAAAGGCTGATAGTTTCTAAAGAAACTGTTTGGGGCTGCGTCGGTGGGGGTAACGAAATAATTTGAACATATCAACAAAGTTGAAATGGTAAATTGGCCACCGTTACGATTATAAAAGCTGACCTTTCGAGCGTTAGCCCTTCGTTCGTCGGAGCGAATCTAACAGCCAAATATTTACTTGGCGAATTCCGACTGAAAGCCTCAAGCGATCACTATAATTATTTTGCTTTTACATTGGGCGAAAAAACTGTTGGTTTTTCTTTTGTTTTGTTTCCGTTTTGTTTTGTCTTGTTTTTGTTTTATAACTATTATTATTCCGATAAAATGCTTAAAAATCGAAAAATACATTGAAATGTCTGATAAAAATTTAAGAAAAGCGAGTGCATACACACCTCGGTTCATAATAATGATAGCTATGATAATAATGCTGAACACTTCTTGGCTCAGTATTCCTGGCTTTAGCTATGATTCCCAGAAATAGCTTTCTCATTGCCTTGCTGTTATTCCTTATCATTATGCCTTACTATGATTCCTTATTATTTCCCTTACTATATATATCGTTATCAAAGGTAGTTTAGA